TTATTTTACTATTTTATTTCCTAAACAAGAAAGAGAAAAGAAAATAAAAAGGATGAAAAGAAAATTATTAATATTTCCTAAACAAAAAAGGAAAACAAAACAAAAAAGATAAAAATAAGATAATAAATATTTCCTAAAGAAAAAAGAGAAAAGAAAACAAAAAAGATAAAAATTACATTATAAATATTTCCTAAACAAAAAAGAAAAAAGAAAAGAAAACAAAAAAGATAAAAATTATTAATATTAATATAAAGTAGGTATTTAATATATTACCTATTATTAAAATTTACTTACTGCCAAATTATCAACAATACCTGAAATTGAAATTATTCCTGCAATCGAAAATAAAAATTAATATTAGAGAAGGATGGTATTTCGGCCTGCAATATTATTAATAGCCAAATCTATTAAAATAGTATGCCCTTTGCTTACCATAAATTTTAACACACTTACCAATTTATATTTCAATTTAATTCAATTTCTTACCTATAAATGGCATCTTTGAGGGATCGCACTTTAACTTTCTTAAATAGGCTCAACACAAACTTGTTACTTCGAATGCTCATCCAAAACTGACCACAAGGGTTCAAAATGCAGCGCAACGCAAGCAACTCTCTCGCGAGAGACTGCATTTCCAAAACAACAACGCAATAAAGGTTACAGCTACGCACAAGAAAATTCTCGATCATACGCACAAACACACATAAACATATACATACATACGCCAAAACTGTCGTCGCAACGCGCCGCGGACTAACCCCTTGTCTTCTTCTTTTTCGTTTCAAAGAAAGAGTGAGTAGCATAAAAGAAATACAAAAAGTTTTTCTTAAATCTATGGTGATTTTCTAATTCTACTTTTTTGTTTTCAAGAAAACATTTTTTTTTAATTCAGAAAAATTCTTAAAATTTACAAAAATTTACCGTATTTTTTATGGCGACTTTCTAGATTATAGGAAGGGCTGAAGTACATTTTTTCTTAATTTAATGGCGAAATCGCCATTAATTTAGGAAAACTTTTGGAGAGCAAACTAGGAAAAAACACCATTGATTTAAGAAAAAAATAATTTTTCTAAATTTTAGAAAGGTTTTTCATAAAATTCTGTTTTTATGGTCTTTTTTCCTAGATTCAAGAAAACCATTTCTAAAATTCAGAAAATTTTCTAAGATTAAGAAAAAATTTCATTTTATGGCGATTTTCTAAAATTTAGGAAAAAAAATTTTTTGAGTGCCCTTGCCGACAAAAGTGCGAACACAAAAGTCAGAGCTATGCGCCCTCTGTATAATGTATACTCTTTGGTATTACCTTAAAACAGCGGTCGGCAGCGGCCTATTAAAGGATCATAGGGTTATGTTCTGCCCACCCGCTGTTCGCTCACGCAAACTGTAGAACAGCGGTCTGCACACACACTCTGATAATCTGCCCAGTGCAATTTACTCATACAAATATTAAACAAAATGTTATTGTATGTGTGTGCCGACCGCTGCACTATGGGGAATTTTACCACTTTTTTGGCCAAAACCCCTTTTTATTTAGTCGTTAAACAAAAAATGTGTTTTCTAGAATACTTTAACAGAAGATCAATCTTCAATGTTACGTTTCAAGAATTTCAATAGAGGCCGCCTCTGCTAACTTATTGCTGTTAAATCAGCTGCTGTATGTTGCATTTTTACTCCTCAGAAATTTGACGAAATGCTGAGACTATTTAATTGCTAAAAATAAGAGTCTTAAAGCAATTTAAGTGGAATTTTTTGAATTAATTCAAAGGATGGTAGTGTGCACTAAGTATTTACGTGATTAAACAATCTAAATTAATCGTGGTTTTCTTGTAATCGATTATTTTTGTGACCGGTCTAACACGAATATTTTTAAAGAAAACCAATTTTTAAATAGAGATACAAAGTAAGGCAAAAACATTTATCGATACCATTTGACAATAAAAACGGATTTAAGAGGTTTTAAAAAGAAAAATAAAGCTATACCTGAATCAAAAATGAAAGAAACGGCATGTAAGCTCTGAGAATTTTCGGTTCTATGAAACTAAAAGAAATATTATTCCGATTTTAACAAAATTTGTTATGTAATTATACCCGTTACTCGTAGAGTAAAAGGGTATATTAGATTCGTGAAAAAGTATGTAACAGGTAGAAGGAAGCGTTTCCGACCCTATAAACTATATATATTCTTGATCAGGATCACTAGCCGAGTCGATCTAGCCATGTCCGTCTGTCCGTCTGTCTGTCTGTATGAACGCTGAGATCTCGGAAACTACAAAAGCTAGAAGGTTGAGACTTCCCACACATATTCTTTGACTTCCTACGCAGCGCAAGTTTATTTCAGATAAGCGCCACGCCCCCTCTAACGCCCACAATCGCCCACTAACTATTTTAAAATGGGTCCTGCGCCCACATCTTTAAACATTTCCGAGAAGTATAAAGCCATTTTGTTGTGCATATTTATACCTATCGAAATGTAGAAGATTTTTAAAATCGGACCATTCATTAAAAAGTTATACGCAATCAAAATTTCTATATCTATCTCCCTCGCACTCCCTTTAGCTGAGTTACGATTATTAGTCGGGACACCAACCCGAGTACAGTGTTCCCACTTTCTTTAGCTGAGTGACGGGTATTAAATAGTCGGGACACGAACCCGACTATAGCGTTCTCTCTTGTTTTAATACTGTATTAAAACGGTACTTATCAAGTTTTATGCATTTATCTCTAAAAATAGCAAAGTTGATCTGATCATTCATATGGCAGCTATATGATATCAAATAAAAACACCTCTTAACGAGGTAAAAAACTAGTGACGATCGCACCATCAACATACAATAGTTCTGATATCAACATTTGTGACGAAAAATTATTACACTCGTCATTAAATACACTTTCTAAGATTTTCTCATTCGGCACGCTGCAATAGAAAATACCTATGAAGGTAAAAAGGCTAAAATAGTATGCTAGGGCGGGCCGAATGAGAAAATATTAGAAAGTGTATTTAATGACGAGTGTAATAATTTTTCGTCACAAATGTTGATATCAGAACTTTTGTATGTTGAAGGTGCGATCGTCACTAGCTTTTTACCTCGTTAAGAGGTGTTTTTATTTGATATCAGAAGTTTTTGTTTGTTTATATTTGCTCTCATAGGAGCTAGTATATACATTTAAATTTAAATTGGTCAATCATAATTTGTAAACCATTGTATTTAAACAAATTAAGTTAAAAAGGCGTTTAAGTATTTCAAAATACCTTTTAAACGAGGTATAGCACATGTCTGTACCTTTAGTAGTGTAGAACTTACAAACTAACGAAATTTAGCTATTTTTAGCTTTTTCCCGCTAAAGTAGCGGCCTTTTTCCAAAAGTCGTAGATACCCTCCCACAAAATTCAATACTCAGGGAGCGTTAGTTGTTCTGAGCTGGCAAAAGTGGCTATTTTCGTTTCTGAATAACTTTTAAACGCGATTTTTTACATAAACATGATATATACCAAAATTGAAGGAATCTCAAGGGCTATACAGTTTAAAGTTGTAAGGAAAATCGTTAGAGACGTTTTTGAGAAAATTAAAAAACTGTAAAAAAAAGTTTAAACAAATTTTCTTTTGTTCATATCTTTTTAACTATTTCATTTACACAAATTGCATATAGAAGGCGTTTATAGCATTTAAAAATACCTTTCAAACGAGATGCAGCACAAGTCTGTAGCTTTAGTAGTATAGAAGTTACGGCTTTCCGAATTTTAGCTATTTATAGCTGTTTTCCCGCTAAGCTAGCGGGTTTTTCCAAAAGTGGTAGAACAAAAGTTTTTTATATCGATGAGATGAACGTCATATCAAATTTTCAGAACTTAAAAAAACATATTTTGGACAAGTGGACAAACTGACAAACAGAATTAAATTTTCATTTTGGGAAGAAGAAGAAAATCTTATTTTGGCTATAACTTTTGAACGGAGCGTCGGATTTTATCATATGACCCCTCATTCGACGGGTATTTTCAATAGGAACACAACTAAAACATTGCGAGGGGGCATTTATCCCCACCGGCCCCAACAGCTCCAAAATTCGAAATTTTCACTATTTCACTTTCAGCTCTCTCTCTCCCAAACCAATTGATTTTCTTGAGGTCTTGGTATGCAATCCTTTAAGTTTTTGCAATACCTTTCGATTGGTGTATTACTCATTACGATCGGACTATCACAGCAGATTTTCAATTTTGCGGCTATATAATAGTAGTCGCCTTCGCACACTCTCCTGGTGCGCTTCGTCACTACATGGACTGCCGTCCATAGTGATAGTTGTCTGATCCGAAAGTTATTCATGCAGAAGGGGATTACACTGGGACACACGTAGTCGATTGCCCTCTTATCTTGCGAGGTTGCGGCTGCCCGACTTACCAACCCTCTACCATCGTAGAAAGTGTCATGGAGTTATGTTCTTACATAAACTTATTATTGGTGATGTCGACTCCCCTTTCCCTCTTAGTTCACTTAACTGGAATGTACCCTGTTGAACAGTTCGCCGTTTTCGTCCGTTGTCCCTGCCAATATGTAGATCTAATTATGCCCTGCATGATCCTTTTCTTGTTCTGTGTGACGACTATTACTATTACTGTGTTTATACGATGCACTATGGGGAAAAATTCCGTTTTTTTGGCATAAACTCTAGTTTTAAAGATAGGGCCTTGAAAATTATAATATATACTCCTTATGCACAAATAGAATTTCGGTTTTTTCCATTTTTTGAAAAAACCTTACGGTTGTAAAAACACCACCCACAGCCACCCACCCACCACCTCCCCATTATGGTCAACCCCCTAAAAATTTGTAAGAATATTTTTTTTATTAATAAAAAACATTTTTATATAGATAACTTATGTAAGATATAATATTAATAAAATAAAATTTAATTATTCTCCATCGAAACTCTCTGAAACAAGCAAGAAAGTTAAAAAATTGGGTTTGTGTTATGGTGTGTTTGCCATACCTAGACACCAACTTCAATCATTCTTCTTCAGGTTCTGCTTCCAAATAAACACTATCCAAATCAAAGAAATTGATTTCACCATCTTCGTCTTCCTCCGTACTTTCAATATCGTTTGTAACATCGGAATTCATATGCAGCTAAACAGTGATTTATTGAAAAAGGGGCAAAAACGGGCAAAAAGCAATGATAACACCTGTTTCTTTATCATTTTGTTAATACATTTATATTACAACCTTGCGTCGATCGGCGTAGATTCTTAACTAAAGCTTAACAGAACACAATAACTTTTGTTAGTTTTCGGCTAAAAGAGACATACACAAGACATTAAACAACAGGACAATGCAAACAGTTACAACACAATTTGTTTTGAGAAGTATTTAAGCATACCTTGACGTAAATTTTCCATATTTTTGTTTATTTTTTCGCCCTCTGAACACTTTGCACGACGATGGGAAACTTTGGAGTAAAATTAGCGCGCTTTTTTCTTAGAGATGAGCACGTTAATCGATAGACTTTGATAGGCTACAACAAATTATCGGTGGCACGTAAAATTTTTTTTTAAATTGTTCTAATAAGTTTAACCGTTTTACTATTAAAATAAAATATTTGTTTTTTAAATTAGTAACTTTTATTTTTTGCGTTTATGCCAAAAAAACGGACTTTTTCCCCATAGTGCGATGCCGAATTCACGCTATCATTTCACGCTTTCGGCCGATTCGTGCTTGTATAAACGCCATTTCGTGAATTCGGCAACACACGAAAGTTGACTATGATTTCAGCCCAAAAGCGTGATTTGGTGATAAGCAATATGGTAACTCTGTAAAAAATGATCGACGTTGCCGGATCGCTAGAAATTGAAGGCCTTTTATAGGCTATTTCATATACTAACATAATTCACTGGGCCACGTCTTACTGTTTGATACCCCCAATGCTACTAATTATAATAATCTTATGTATTTTCTGTCTTCAAATAATTTATAAATTCTTTGTGTGCATTAATTTTAAACTGTCTATTGTTAGATCGTATTTTTTCCATTTCCGCGATTCCGCTTACGAGCCCAAAACGGTTTAGGGCTCCGCGCGTAACAAGTTTTGCTTCGTGTCGTAAGGGCCACTTGTTTGTACTGACCATAGTGCATCAACGTCCAAGAAGAATATGCGGTGTGATAAATAATAACGATTGCTAAAGTTTTACTTTAATATCTTTAAAATTGAGGGAGTTATTAATATTGGCCAAAAAAAGTCGTCAAATTCCCCATAGTGCGCTGCCTTAAAAGTGGGAAAATAGTCCACGTTGCTATTGATTTTATATATTTAAACTTCTTCTTCAGTAGCTTTAAGCTAAGTCTAAAAAAATGTTTATGTATTAAACTTAAAAAAATAATAATTTTTTCAATAATACTAAGAATTATTTGTATTAAATTGTGAGTAAAAATCAATTTCAAACTTTTCCTAAATTTTAGGTCTTATGGACCAATTTTAAGGTTACGATGGACTATAAAAATCTTTGTAGATTTATTATATATATACATATACATATATTTTCAAATTTCACGCGCAATATTTGTTATATATTTTACTTTCACGTCGTCGAAATGTATCATGAGCGTTCAGCAGAACAAACTTTATTACTGATTACTGATCCATCAGTGATCAGTGGTCATGTTGTTCTGCTGAACGCAGCCAATTATTTCTTGAGGATCCGGTGTTGAATAATGTGGTATTACCCGCGTCTAAATATACGGTCACATTAGCTTGAACAAAAACTAAAAATTCTAAAAAACTAATAAAATGCATATTGTACTTCTAAAAGGAATAGAAATGAATGCTGTAATAGCTACACTCAGAAAATGAATCGCCCTGAATTTTAGAAAATCGCCTATGGATTTGCTTCACTGGCGATTTTTTTCTTTAAAATAAAAAAATTTTCTACTGGTAAAGAAAATTTTCTTCCAATTAATCAAAAGTCATTAAATTCAAGAAATATTCCAGAAATATAGAAAAAAATCGCCAGTAAAGCAAATCCATAGGCGATTTTCTAAAATTTTTTTTTGAGTGTACTGTTGTTACAGCATTAGTTATCAAGGACAAAGACCATAAGAAGCGACCTAGATCTTGTTGGGTTAATCCGTATTTGGCCGAACGTCTCAAGAAAGGACGATTTACAACAGATGTAAGATTTGCAAAAAACAAAATATACTACATTATAAATATCTTATTTCACAGTTTGAAGATTTAACACAAAACCCGTCGCTCTTTTTTGAAAACTTTCATATGAGTTTGGTCCATTTCAAAGAATTGTATAAGAAGTTGGAGCCAATTCTTATTCCAAAAATGTTTTCTCGTTCTGACTCTATTCGCCCCCACGAAAAACTGGCCTTAGTACTTGAGTAAGTTGTCCCGCAAATCGCTAGAACTATTCATTAAACTTTCAACCTAGGTATCTAGCTTCGGGTTCTATTCAACGTGATATTGCTTCTTCTTATCGAATAAGCAAGCAACGCGTAGGTTCATTGATTGATGTGGTGTGCACTGAAATATGCAAGAAACTTCAAAATGAAGTACCCCCCTGGACCAAGGAAACAATGCTAAAAAATTCAGAGGATTTTGAAAATGTGTGGAATTTTCCTAACTGTGTAGGAGCGATTGACGGGAAACATGTTCCCATTAAGGCCCCACCTCAAAGTGGCAGCGTATTCTTTAACTATAAGGTAGTTTTAATTACCTGAACATATCTTCCTATTGGTATTAACTAACTGTTTTCTTCTTGCTGTTAGTGACGCTAAATACAGATTCACTTATATTGGAGCGTATGGAAGTGAAGGAGATATGAACGCATTTTCTCATTGTAAGCTTGGCAAAGCCATCCTTCTGGACCAGTTGGACTTTCCAGATGACAAGCAACTAAATGAAGTTAAGGTGCCATATTACTTGGTGGCAGATGTAAAAGAACCGCCCATATGTAGCTTTACAATATTCGGACTGAAATATTCCTCGCTGCCTAACGCCCTTTTTTCACCAGCTTACCATCACGGAGAGCATAAAAACACTCTAAGCATAACCATTGTAAACAAAAATGTACACACGTGTGTTTTTGTGACTGCATAAAAAGTAATGGTGAAGTAAAAATACCTGAAAAATGCTCACAGCATTATACACACACCTTAAAGATTTCTGAAGGAGTAAAAACTGTAACAGCTCGGGAATGTAGAGTGAATTTACACGCTAAATACGGCCCAAAAGAGAGCAAGCCAAAGCCATCAAATGCTTGTTGGCGAGGTGGGGAAGGCCCACACTGACGTTGTCCTCTAAGACACACTCGTAGGCCCCCTAAAAAGGTTTTACATGTCATTGCGGCCCAGCACACACGGGCGTAGTGGAGAGTCAGAAATTGACATAAATACATAATGAGCCACAGTTTCGCCCCACATGTGAGCGAATTCATGAGGGGCCAGTCCTGGGGTGGCCAAAGTGCGTAGGGCTAAAAATCATAAACTTTTACTTTAATTTCCCGCTGGAATTGGCTCAAGAAACCGAGGCAATAAGCGAGTACACAAGTCGGTCCAAGAAAACGAGCTGTTAACAATTTGCCAACGCAGCGCCTAGTTATTGGCAGTTAATGGGTGGCCTGAGAAAACTACATTTGAGGAGACAAATAGATTAAAATTCAAACAATTGATTAAAACAAGTTCCTCTTTTGGAGGTGATGTGATGTAAGGCAAATGTAACTAGCAACTTCTTTTGTAAAATCAGATTTCTATATTAGTTAATTGTTTGCGTGAGAAAATGTGCCGTTCTTATCTTATCGGATCCAATTTTCATAAAGACCAATAATGTTAGTACCTGAATTGATGTTGTTAATAATTGTTCTGAACACGCTCTGCAATCGGATCACGAGTGCTCAACATCGGAATGAACTCAGTAAATGGATATACCCTTCTTACGAGAATATAGGGTGCTCCGCCTACGACAGGACATCGACCTGCTCTAATATTAGGGCCAAGTTGTTGGCTGGCAAAGTTCACGCGAAGGCGATGGAACGGCATTCCCGTGAGACATTTTCAATTATTTATTATTTATGTGAGGCGGGGGAAGTCGTATTCAGCTGGCCATATGTGTCGTGTCTTGTTCAATGTGGCCCTTCAGTTGACAAATTTGCAGCCAGAAGCTGACGAGCTTTAATGTCGACCAGGACACAAGGACTTCAGGCCCGGAAACAGGCAGACTGTGGAAACGTGGAAATTTCGTTAAGAAAATTATTTACATTTTGCAAATTTTATGAGCTTTGTTCCATCCGAGGACGAGCGTAAGGAGGGCGGGGCGAGGGGGGTTTTGGCTCTCACATGTCTGCATGTTTAATGTAATGCAGTGTGTGCGGCTTCACGCCCACCGAATTCCCACCCACCTTAGGACTCGCTCCTGGCTCCTCTTACCCTACACATGTTGTGCTCTTTAACCGTATTAAATTACATCCCTGTTGGCGTTTATTAATGGCGCAAACTTTTAATGAGAATGTGCATATTTAATTGCAAAGTCAAGAGAAAAAGACAGCTGGAGTGGGTGAAACGGTAAGGGAATATGGTGCTGGCCTAGCAACCGCTAAGATTCTTTTTGTTTTGCTGGGTCACCAGTTTCCCTCATCCTCTCTAGTCAGTGTACTTGCTCACCTTATTAGACGGGAAACTGGCATGGGACTGTAAATGAGAATGAAATGGGTTCTGGGAATGCTACTTACCGGCAACATCTCATCAGCATTAATGTGCCCTGGTTGTCGTCATAATCAGCGCTGGGGCAACAAACCGAAATTGCCGAAGCGATGGCCTGTGTTTTAGTATTTTTAGGCAACTTAAAATTGGGAAAAAATGTAAGGCTCAGTAAAGGGGTTTAGTGTTCAGGGAACGAAAAACAATTTTTTTTAACGTCAAAAATAAAACTCCGAATCGTTTAGTGGCGGTTGTGCATGTAATACTTTTTTTTATTAGGTATATAGTCTTGCTTGGCAAAAAAAAAAGTCAGCAACACATAACTGCCTTTGCAGTCCCCACTAAACGATGTTAAGTTTTATTTTTGATCGGAAAAATATAACTCCTAAATGTATTGATTTCACTGTGCAACAAACTGAATGCTTTTTAAAATGTACCTCGATGGATGCTACATTTTTGAATTCGTTACGAAGTTAAACTGAGTTTTCCAAAAAATTTCCCCGAAGCAAGGATTTTTTGCACAAGGACCTTAAGGATCGAAAAATGCTAAAATTGGTTAACTTTTCGGAGGTCTTAGAGGCAAATGGATTCATGGTTTGTTTTGATGATAAAGTTTTTTAAAAGATACACTCTTTTTTTTCAAGCAGAAAGAGAATAAGTTTTATTTGTCAAGTTTTATATTAAGCCACACAAAATATCGATTCTTTTTTGACTTTTAAATAAAAGTGTATGCAAATATGTAAAATTCATAACTTAAATTATAATTTAGAAAAGAAGAGAGAACGCTATAGTTACATATAGCGAGCACCACGCCAGATACCCGTTTCTAAGCTAAAGGGAGTGCGAGGGATATAAAGGTATGCAAGGAGTAAATAGTAGGGGAGTGTAGGGTAATGTGACGAGTAGGGTAATGTGACGAACTCGTCGAATCTCACATATGACGTCACGATAAAAATGCCAAATAAATGTAGTCGTCTCCTCTTATCGTGTCGACAATGTTTTTACAGTAATATTAATAAGAAGTCCCGTAATTTGTTCGCGTGGAAATTTTTTCTAAAAAGGTGGTGCACAAACTAGCTAACCTATTCACTTTTTTTGTGTTTCAGCAGTGCCAGAGCGAAAATGAGTGGAAAATAAAATCAGATAAATATATGCTCATACACCCAAAAAAGTTCACATTTAATGAGCGTTGTATTAAAAGTATACTACAGCTAGTATCAAACTGTCAGTATTAATTTAAAACTAAATAATGTAAGGAGCAGACTCAATAGTGTTAAGTTAAGACTAAATAGTGTTAAGTTTATGTCCTGAGTTTAATTTCTATACCGAAGTTTTCGATTTTCGTTCCTGGTGTGAAGCCAGGATGCTCAGGTTTGGAAACTGGACATTTCGAACAGAAAAAGTGTTACCGCTTTTTAATGTAATTTGACGCGTTAGTATTTTAATGGTTTGACATTAGTGTATTTTGTAAACGACGCTGCGGTCTGTTTAAAGTTTGTTTGTGAAAATTACTTGTTAAAATTTTAATATTTGCTTATTTTGGGCTTATTTGAAATGTAAGTACATTAAAATTGTGTCTTAGTGCATAACTAATGAGTAAATTCTTTTGCTTTTACTGACACCACCTTGAACTGCGCTCCAGATGCCGGGAACTAAGGATCTTGCAACTAGCTTGCAGCGTAATGTTAACTTCAATATCAGCGTCCTCGACCAATCTTCGGTATTCATCTGGACGGCGACCACTCTGGAGATGATCAGCGACATAAGCGGTAAAACGGCTGCATTTGCCCAAATATGCATACATACGTACATATTTTGTACATGTTTTGTATTTATGTTTATTTGTTAAATTAAAAATTACCTTCAGTAATGTATAAAAATGTAAAAAATATTTTTAATACTATATGAAAAGTACAAAACAAAATTTTTTTAATTTTGTCTCTTTAATACGCGGTATAATATTTATACTGGCATTATACTAAATAGTATACAAAATAAACAAGCAGCCTAAATTTCAGTACACTGAGTGAGTATAAACTGTATACTCGTTAGTTTAAACTTGACAACTTCGAAAGTTTCATTTTTATACTTTCGAAGTCCATTAGCTTAATACTCAGAGTATCGAGAAATTTTTGACACTCAATAGTTTACTTTTAATGGAGAAATAGTTTAGTTTCTATGATCATTTTTTTTGGGTGTACAAATGAATGGTGACAAATTTTTTTATTCACAAATTTTAATTGATATTGTTGATTTTGTGTGAAAAACAATAATATTACCTGATAACATTAAATGCTTTAGTTTTATAGTACTTATACCCGTTATTCGTAGAGTAAAAGGGTATATTGTATTCGTGCAAAAGTATGTAAAAGCTAGAAGGAAGCATTTTCGACCCTATAAAGTATATATATTCTTGATCAGGGTCACTAGCCGAGTCGATATAGCCATGTCCGTCTGTCCGTCTGTCTGTCTGTCCGTATGAACGCTGAGATCTCGGAAACTATAAAAGTTAGAAGATTGACATTTTGCATGCAGATTCTAGAAGTTCCTACGCAGTGCAAGTTTGTTTCAAAAGGGTGCCACGCCCCCTTTAACGCCTACAATCGCTTAAGTACGATTTTAACAAGAGAGAACACTATAGTCGGGTTGGTGTCCCGACTATTTAATACCCGTCACTCAGCTAAAGGGATTGCGAACGCTGTACTCAGGTTCGTGTCCCGACTAAAATCGTAACTCAGCTAAAGGGAGTGCGAGGGAGATAGATATATTTAGATATTTTGATTGCGTATAACTTTTTAATGAATGGTCCGATTTGAAAAATGTCTTCTACATTTCGATAGGTATAAATATACACAACAAAATTGCATTTATAATCTCGGAAATCTTTAAAGATGTGGGCGCAGAACACATTTTAAAATCGTTAGTGGGCGATTGTGGGCGTTAGAGGGGGCGTGGCGCTCAACTGAAATAAACTTGCACTGCGTAGGAGGCCCAAGAAAATGTGTGGAAAATCTCAACCTTCTAGCTGTTGTAATTTCCGAGATCTCAGCGTTCATACGGACGGACAGACGGACATGGCTAGATCGACTCGGCTAGTGACCCTGATCAAGAATATATATACATTATGGGGTCGGAAACGCTTCCTTCTAGCTGTTACATATTCTGCCTAAAACTTATATTTAATGAAGCCAAATCAGGTGTTATGTGTTCGAAAAGCAGAAAGGTGGCCAACTTTAAGAATGACTGACCCAGGGTGGTAAGATTATAGACATTATCTACTTTTGAAAATATAATTAATAATTTAAGTTTTTGTATAAACAGTTTTTATTTTATGCATTTAATTTTACAAAAAGCAATTTTTCTAAGGAGTCGCTCGAAAGGTTTGTTCTCATTTCTGTTAGTACTAATTTAAGCGCAGAAAAGGACCTTTCTACACTTACTTGCGTTGCTGGAACGCAGTGAACTACCATAGCCAGCAGATACAAGTTTGGGTAAACGAATTTTTTTTCCTCCCAGTACACCATAATATCGGCACCTAAATCGATCGGTTTGGGGTTATAATTATCGATTTCACTGCAAGCTATTTTCAGGTCAGCATCCATTTCATCATCCGAGTTTTCATCGTTCGAGTCAACTTCAATGGAATTGAGGAACTCGTTCAATAGGGTTTCGGAATTTGAGGAACTCGTCGACGATGTTGATGGTTCCTCCCTCGGAACATTTTCATCATTATCCTATTTAAGAATTTATTTGTTTATTCAATATTATATATTTATTGACTTACGTTGCGGTGAACCCTTTTAATTTGGGAAAATAGCTTTTTTCTGGTCCGTGCTGTGATAAGGCTTGAGTTGTTTTTTATAAGAGCTCGTCGTATTCTCGGATCCAGATATACCGCTGATAGAACGGCTCTGTTCTCCAGCAAAGTAGCTTCCCTTTTCTGTAGGCAGTCTTCCAACAAGATGCTGTTGGGAGTAGACATTGCCTTTATAGACAGTTTGAGCTCCAACCACATTTTATAGAAATCTCCCATAAAAAGTTGTTCGCTCTGAAGCTTCTTCGTGGCTGCGTAAACAGGCTGCAGTACATCAACAACACCTTTCATTGATTCCCAGTCCGAAGAGTCCAGATTGAGGGGTATATCCTTTTCTTGCTCACAGAATTGTTCAAAAAGTAAAAGCTTCTTCAACATCGTATATGTTGAGTTCCAACAAGTGGCTACATCAACTTCTGGCTGGGGAAGACCCTTTGCGATTGTTATAAGCCTATAAAAAATAAACTTTAACAATAAAATAAATGTACAGATTCATACAAACATACCTGTAAACAGGTCTCCTTAAAGTTTTGACCACTTTTCGAGCTTTATCAACTACTTCGTGACAGCCAAGGTTTTGCAAAAAATCTTTTACACTCAATTGTAGGGTGTGTGCTGCACATTTAACAGATTCTATTGAATAAACCTTGATATCCTTAAGTAAGCCTTCTTCGTCGATATCTTCTTCATGATCGCTACGTTCGTTGTCAACCTCCTTATTTAAAAGGTCTACGGTCTTTAACATATTTTTGCCGTTGTCTGTGGTTACGCAGAAAATTTGGGTTTTCGAAATATTGAAGTCCATTAAGATCGATTCGACCTCATCACAAAGGTTCACTGCCGTATGTCGCTTATGCAGTTCAATGAGACCCAATGTTTTAATGCAAATACGCCTGCCATCGTAGTATTGTACATTGATGCCCAATATTCCACGATTACAGCGGGTCGCAGTGTCCATTTTAAGGCTAAGGACTTTTGACTTTAGTGACTTCCGAATTGTGTCTTTGATTTCATCACTTTTTTTCCGACTACAGCCATTACATTTCGTGAAGAAATTGGATTCATACCGAGCCCACTAAAAATTTGCTCCGTTAGCACTTTGAAGGGTTCCGAATCCAATAACGAAAACGGCATCTTTTCGGTCGTCACAAAGCTGATGCAAGCTTCTGTAACTTCCTCTTTGCTGAGGCTCATTGAAAATTTTGTTTTTTTTTTTGGAGGGCTTTCTCCGGCTCTTTGGATATTCTGATTATTAAATACCTCATAATGCTGCTCTTGCAAATGGCGTTTTAAATTTGACACATAATTACCGGTAAATACTTTTTTACAAATTTTGCACTCCGACACATTTGTTTTCGCGTTAAAATTAAAATAATCCCGAGGGCGATTATTAAGTTTGCGTCCCATTTGAAAAGAAAACTTACGCGAGTTTTGTACACTAAATCGCAATCGAAAAACTTTCAAGTTGTGACAACGAAATACTGATTTTAGCCAGGATGTCATAAATTATTTCCCAGAACTATTTGGGAATTACAAAAAGGATAAGCCAAACGAAGTGACTTCCCTTAATTATGCAACATAAAACAAAAGAAAATATACACACACTTAGTCAGTCACACTTAAACTTTTCGAACACATTACACTTGATTTGGCTTCATTATATATAAGTTTTAGGCAGTGAATTTTTTCTTGGTTTTTGGCGGTTTTCGGTTATTGTATAAAATTAAAAGTGCCCTTAATGTGTTGGCCGTGGTCTACTTAGTACATTTGCTAACCGCTTTTAAAGCCAAACCTCTTAATTTCAAAGAAATCGGACTTCGAGTTTTATTTTCTGATCAAAAAATAAAACTCAAGGAATAAGTTTTATTTTTCAATCAGAAAATAAAAATCAAAAAGTAAGCGTTATTTGTCAAGCGGAAAATAAAACTCAAAAAATAATCATTATTTCCAGAGCTGAAATAAAACTCAAAAAATAATCATTACTTTTAAAGTTTTACAAAGAAACTCAAAGAATTACGATTTTCCTTCGAGTTTTAAATAAAAATTGGAAAAATAAAAATTAAACCGGATATTGAAACTATGGTGCTTAAAAAGTGTACTGGTATAGTTATTTTTTTTCTAGGATTGTTCTTTGACCATGATTTTTTTGTTAAAAAAAAAATTAATAATGATTATTTACGGTCCCTGAAAAATTTCAATATTTCGTAAAAGTAACAAGAGAGAACGCTATAGTCGGGTACCCCGACTATCAGATACCCGTTACTCAGCTAAAGGGAGTGCGAAGGAGATGGAGATAAAAACTTTGATCCGCCGTAACTTCTTAACGAATGGTCCGATTTTAAAACTTTCTTCTACATTTCGATAGGTATTTATAAACACAATAAAACTGCGTTATTACTTTTCCGAAATATCGAATATGAATGATATTTTTAACATCGTATATAAGCGATTGTGGGCGTTAGAGGGGGCGTGGCACCCTTTTGAAACAAACTTGCGTAGGAACTCCTAGAATCTGCAAGCAAAATGTCAATTTTCTAGCTTTTATAGTTTCCGAGATCTCAGCGTTCATACAGACAGACAGACGGACAGACAGACATGGCTAGATCGACTCGGCTAGTGATCCTGATCAAGAATATATATAGTTTATAGGGTCGGAAACGCTTCATTCTACCTGTTACATACTTTTTCACGAATCTAATATACCCTTTTCCTCTACGAGTAACGGGTATAAATAAAGTTTGACTTAGGCATGTCATATGGGAAGACTGATCTGACAGACTTGATGTTGAATAGGTGGTTTGAAAAAACTGTGCAAAAAGATCGGCTATGACCTGATCAGTGTTTGCGGCAGAATTTTAAAATTTAAGGGTGGATTGGTAGATTGAAGATTTACGCTTTGTGTTAACAAAATTATAAAACTGTTTTGGATTCAGTGTAAACTGCGTCTTGCAACGAGCTAAATAGTTTTTGTAACGCTGAGCGTTAAGCACGGTAAAATCCGACCGAGCTTGTGATCCGGAAGCTCTAAACTTTTTGTAGAGTATAGACTTCAAATTTGTAAGTCGTGACAACTCTTAACTCCTTACTAAACCACATTATAAAATATATTAACAGCTTTAGTCATATTGGTACATAAGTACAGATTAGACCAATCCGAGCAAGCGATAAGGCTATTGATAACTGCAAAGTTTGCTCTACGAAAGCAGGGGATGCCTTTAGCTGACTTTTCAGATATTTTAATTAATTTTGTACCCGTGTCAATAGTCAGCTCCAGCGTTGGGTGAGACACAATCTGGACTTGAAACAAAGCATAGATCCAGTAATCGGCCTAATGAATTTTGAACATGGGTAAGAATTTCTCAACTGCGCATATGAAATTTTAGATTTTCTTCAAACTTGGGTACCTCGTAAAGTTTGGCTTGGTTATCATCTGTGATTTTTTTTTAAATTTTTTGGTGTCCATTTAGGGGCGCTATGAATTTTTGAAGTTAAGAACTTAAAAAATGTTCTCAAACTTCAAATTAGTATATCTCGAGAACGGCTTAGAAGAACAACGTGCAACTTTACACGTTTTTAAATATGTACTGGGGGAACTAGAAAATAATTTTCTTAAATTTTTTGTTGTCCAATAAGTATGAATTTTAATTATTTGAAATTTTTTATTGCGGTTTTGAATGTCTTCTTCATCCTATTAAAGAAACGTAAGTATCCAAGATTGTCCATTTCATAACCAACTTAATTTACCCGAAGAAACATTTTTGTTCCTTTTCATCATTTCCAAGATATATAATTTTTTATGCGAATTTAGAAAAACCTTATTTATATTTCCAATGAGTACAATTCTTACATGTTTAAACTGAAAGTTTGCACAACTGAATTACTCACTGATATTATGCACATTTATTAATATCATAATTTTACCACCGTCCCTTCATATAGCTGCCATACAAATCGATGGATTTTCTTATTGTTAAGAAAGTAGGCTTTGAAAAATTAAAATTACAACTTGAAACAAAAAATTTTTTCAAAGCCTACCTTCTTTAACCTTCAATAATAAGTTCCTATTAGGAATGGTCGAAAAATAAAATGGAAATTAGGTTAGGCTAGGTTAGGTTAGGTGAGCATGGTTGGGGATTATAAACTAATCCCCTCACTTAGGCCGCCATGGGCCCCTTGTGATACCATATGATCTCAGAAAAGATCCATATTCCTAGCTCATGGGTTATTGGGTTTCTCGAACCAGTTGGTTCTTTTCAGAAAACAAAGGAGTTTGGGTATGCTGGTGCCTTGTATGGCTGCAAGGTTTGGAAGCGTGTAGCTTCCTAGTGTTTGAAAACGTTTGAGGTTGTGTGCTGGGCAGAAGTTTGACTTAGGCATGTCATATGGGAAGACTGATCTGACAGACTTGATGTTGAATAGGTGGTTTGAAAAAACTGTGCAAAAAGATCGGCTATGACCTGATCAGTGTTTGCGGCAGAATTTTAAAATTTAAGGGTGGATTGGTAGCTTGAAGATTTACGCTTTGTGTTAACAAAATTATAAAACTGTTTTGGATTCAGTGTAAACTGCGTCTTGCAACGAGCTAAATAGTTTTTGTAACACTGAGCGTTAAGCACGGTAAAATCCGACCGAGCTTGTGATCCGGAAGCTCTAAACTTTTTGTAGAGTATAGACTTCAAATTTGTAAGTCGTGACAACTCTTAACTCCTTACTAAACCACATTATAAAATATATTAACAGCTTTAGTCATATTGGTACATAAGTACAGATTAGACCAATCCGAGCAAGCGATAAGGCTATTGATAACTGCAAAGTTTGCTCTACGAAAGCAGGGGATGCCTTTAGCTGACTTTTCAGATATTTTAATTAATTTTGTACCCGTGTCAATAGTCAGCTCCAGCGTTGGGTGAGACACAATCTGGACTTGAAACAAAGCATAGATCCAGTAATCGGCCTAATGAATTTTGAACATGGGTAAGAATTTCTCAACTGCGCATATGAAATTTTAGATTTTCTTCAAACTCGGGTACCTCGTAGAGTTTGGCTTGGTTATCATCTGTGATTTTTTTAAAATTTTTTGGTGTCCATTTAGGGGCGCTATGAATTTTTGAAGTTAAGAACTTAAAAAATGTTCTCAAACTTCAAATTAGTATATCTCGAGAACGGCTTAGAAGAACAACGTGCAACTTTACACGTTTTTAAATATGTACTGGGGGAGTTAGAAAATAATTTTCTTACATTTTTTGTTGTCCAATAAGTATGAATTTTAATTATTTGAAATTTTTTATTGCGGTTTTGAATGTCTTCTTCATCCTATAAAAGAAACGTAAGTATCCAAGATTGTCCATTTCATAACCAACTTAATTTACCCGAAGAAACATTTTTGTTCCTTTTCATCATTTCCAAGATATATAATTTTTTATGCGAATTTAGAAAAACCTTATTTATATTTCCAATGAGTACAATTCTTACATGTTTAAACTGAAAGTTTGCACAACTGAATTACTCACTGATATTATGCACATTTATTAATATCATAATTTTACCACCGTCTTTTCATATAGCTGCCATACAAATCGATGGATTTTCTTATTGTTAAGAAAGTAGGCTTTGAAAAATTAAAATTACAACTTGAAACAAAAAATTTTTTCAAAGCCTACCTTCTTTAACCTTCAATAATAAGTTCCTATTAGGAATGGTCGAAAAATAAAATGGAAATTAGGTTAGGCTAGGTTAGGTTAGGTGAGCATGGTTGGGGATTATAAACTAATCCCCTCACTTAGGCCGCCATGGGCCCCTTGTGATACCATATGATCTCAGAAAAGATCCATTTCCCTAGCTCATGGGTTATTGGGTTTCTCGAACCAGTTGGTTCTTTTCAGAAAACAAAGGAGTTTGGGTATGCTGGTGCCTTGTATGGCTGCAAGGTTTGGAAGCGTGTAGCTTCCTAGTGTTTGA